GGCTTTTTATGACGATGTGTGACAGAGGGGATGGGGGAGGGGGAGGTAAAAATCGTCCAAAAAAAGCGTGACGTCATTTATGGATGACACCTTAACATCATCTGTTTGTATTTGGTTGCTGTTTTTTTTAAAGGATTCTTTTTCGTTCTTAATTCTAATGTTGGAATGGATTTCCTCTAACACAATAACGTGTCATCGTATTATGCGCCATATGGCGTTGACTCCGATTTCAACCTGCTTTTCTTTTGTTTTATTTTTGGAGTTATCTCACGTAGAAGAGTTGCTGTTCCCAGTTGTAAAGCCCCGTTTGTCAGAGGGTTCGAACAAGAGACTTTTCGGTTAAGTAACAATGTGCTTTACCGACTCGACCACGCCGACTCCTTCATCAATTAAATAATTCTGCTATGCTGATGTAATAATAATATAACTAACATAATCAAAGGCTTAATATAGATAACACAAAATTGTATTTCCTAGGATTTGAAAACCATTTTTTTATCATTTTCAAATACTTAACGGAAATTGTATTCTTTTTTACAAGGTTTATAAGCCTGTTCGATTATTATTACTTGGTTGACTTTAAACAATAAGAGTTGATTTAAGTTTCACAGCTCCAATAATCTACAGTTTTAATGCTTTAAACTTATGGCTGAAAAACAAAAAATACACAACGGCCATTAAGTCGTAAGTATAAAAAACCTTACCACTTGAGCTTTGACAAGACAAACAAGTGACACGCAGTCAGTCCCCACCTTGTGAAGTAAATGGGCCTCTCTTTGCGCATGCTCGCATCACATTAATTGAATACGAAACTGCGGCCTGCGCAAGCGTTTGTAACAACAACAGGCTAAACCACTAAGTCTTTACCCCATGAGGGGGGGGGGGGGGGGGGGAAGGCGGTTAGTAGATTCCCATAAAGCTGATTCCCCCCCCCCCCAACAATAAAAATAACACGTAATATCACAAACACAATTAATCTTTAAGGCTGTATACAATTGTTAAAATCCAAAATAGTGGATAATATCATTAATACATGGTGGAATCAAAAGAAAACAAGACGAAACCAGTGTGCTGAACTATCGAGAGTTACAGCCTATATGGTAGAAGATCTATTTTTGCCGGCGATTACCAGTTGTTTTTTGTTCAGTCTCTATTCAAGCAACGGAATAAAGGTGTCAACATTTTTATTATCATTCTAATGTATAAGATGCGTGTATCAAATTTAAATAATATATTTTAATATAAAATGTATTTTGTAAAAAAAGAAAATGGTAAATTAAGAATAGTATATACATATTTTTAAAATTATAAATATAAAATTATTTTTGTTTTTCGTTTTAACCTCTTTAAGACCGTTCGATAAAATTTTCTCGATTTAATTCTTTGTTTTTCGGAATCCAAGTTTTTAATTGTAAATCTAGGTCATGACGACATTTTTTAACACTGCGGAATGCCGTTCAGCGGCCGCGTCTAAACGTTTACGTCACCATATTATAACATTAACCAAAATTAAAGTACTTAAACTAAGACTAATCCGATCCATGATTTTTGAAGAAAAATGGAAGGTACTTTCGTTTTCTATGAATAAGATCTAATGAAAAATAATTCTTTTTATTAATTTTTCCGACAGAAGGGTAATTTTTGCACGAAAAAATCAGCTCTTTATTTTTTCTTCTTTATAACCAAGCAATTATCTTTCTCCAATAAATAAATCCTTGCCTTAAAACTTATATCAATATGTAGGGTATTCAATTACTATTAATGTTTATCAATAATGTGTGGGGTTTAAATTAACGGGTAAAAAGATATGGGTCATTTAGCCGCAGGGGTACTGAGAAAAATGAGTAAAAATAATTATTCCGGTAAAACGTGAAAATAATTACGAGCTTAAAGAGTTCTTAATTAATTAAACAGCAGGATCAAATACAACAGCGATTTATTAAAATGCCGACACACTACTTTAAACTAAAGTATGTTACAACACTGCTTCAGCATGTTTGTATAACATATATTTTTACAATACTTACTTACTTACTTAATCCTCATCACTCCCTGTGGAGTATAGGGCAGCAACAAATCTCCGCCATTCCACCCTGTCCCGGGCGAGCCACTTTAGTTCATGCCAGGTTTTGCCAGTAGCCTGTACTTCTTCTTCCATCTCCCTCCTCCATGTTCCCAGTGGTCTTCCTCTATTTCTCTTTCCGGGTGGGTTCCACTTCAGCGCCATGTTGGGGAGTCTTTTTTTGCTCATGCGTAGGACATGGCCCAGCCATCTCCATCTCCTCGTTCGAACTTCTGAGACAATGTCGTTTAATCCTGTCCTTCGCCATATTTCCTTGTTCGGGACTTTGTCGTCCCACTTTATCCTGAGGATGCGTTGGAGGGATCTTCTTTCAAAGCCTCTGAGTCGGCTCTCTCCTTTCTTGTTTAGTTTCCATGACTCTGCAGCATAGAGGAGTACAGAACGTACATTTGACTTATTGATCCTTATTTTAGATCTCTGCTGCAGTGAGGATGATTTCCAGATCTTAGCGAGTCTGTTGAAAGCTTGTGCTGCCATTGCTATTCTGGTGGCAATTTCTTTCTCCATGCTGCCATTTGCTGATATATAGCTGCCGAGGTACTTAAAGTCTTCGACCTCTTCTAGCTCCACTCCATTCGCAAAGGTCTTGAGAGCACTTTTGGTTTTTATTTTCATTAGCTTGGTTTTTCCGGAGTTTATCTTTAGCCCAACGCTTTTGGCAATTTGCTCTATTCTTGTGGTTTTCGCTTGGATGTCTTTTTGGGCATGTGAAAGTAAAGCCAAGTCATCAGCAAAGTCACAGTCCTCTAGGTGGTTGGTAAGTTCCCAAACAATTCCTCTTGGCTTATCCTCAGTGGCTCTTCTAATAATCCAGTCTATTACCACCAAAAAGATGACAGGTGAGATGACACAGCCCTGTCTGACTCCTGTTTTTACCTTGAACCATTCACTTTGCTGATTTTCGTGTCGCACACAGCATTGGTTATCATAGTACATGTCCTTAAGTATGTTTATGACTTTTCCTGGAAAGCCATATAGCTCTAGTATCTTCCATAATGATGGATGGTGGATGCTATCAAATGCTTTCTAGAAATCTATGTAGTTGATGTAGAGAGACGAATTCCACTCCAGGGACTGTTCCACTATAGTGCGCAAGACAAATATTTGGGCGTTACATGACCTGTTGGCCCTGAAGCCAGCTTGTTCTTCACGAAGGATCCCATCAATTCCTTTCCTCATTCTTTGTAATATTAATAATATTTTTACATAATGATACATAAAAACATTCTATATAAATTTTGTATCTGCTGCGTGAAAGCACTTGTTAATTTTTATTGTGCCTTGTCCGTCTAAAAATAACGAATGCAAGGGACGTTACCTCTAATACAACTGGCAAAATTTAAATAGTACGAAACTTTGCTCTCCCCTAGTAAATATTAAAGTGCAAAATCGAATAGCGGAAGAGTGGTCATCCGTTAACCATTGCAAAAATATTTTATGTAATGATCTGTAATTTTTTTGATACATGGAAAATAAATGTCCAACGAATTGAGGGGATTTTCAACATAGCCATAACTTGTCTTTTATACATGTAAATTAAGATGGACTAATTTGTCCAAAAATATTCTAGCAATGTTTAATTATAATTTCGATTTCCCCATTACTCGAACTCTTTGTTGCGAACGATTTTGAAAAATAATATGAATATTTAAAGTTGTACCATATCAAATTATTTTGATATCTTTTGACACTGTTCACCAACCTTGCAGATAAATATCACTCTTTGTTCAAAAAATTAATAATTAGACAGATTGAGAGTCGCTGTGAAAACTTTTACGAAAACTCAATGTTGGTCTGTATAGATTTGGGATGCTAGCTGTTTTTATACTTTGAAATTCAATCTATAATCAAAACGAGGCTGTAGCAGACTTGACTTCTGGTGTATCGTATTAGAAGTTAATTGTTTGTGTGATAGTAGAATACACGGTCTTAAAATGTGAATGTGTGAGCAATTAATCTTAGGTTTTGCATGCTTTTGTCGATTTCGCTCACTGAGTGTAGTGTGATACTGCAACGGTATATAATGGTTGATGACAGAATACTTTGGGCGTGTCACCTAGATGAATGCAGGATGAAGCTACGTTTGTTGACCGTTAGAACAATGTGGGTGTTCCAATACATCCAGTATTTATTCCAATGTTTTTGTATTTAATATATAGCATTTTCATAATTACTGTGTGTATTCTAGTCTTTTGTAAATATAGTTTTTGTCTAATAAGAAATTAAGTTAGGTTTATTCAAGGTACCTACAGCCACAGCTGAGTATCTCAACATATAACTTACATTTCAGATGTTTCATTAAAACTGCATCGTAACTGAGTTCAAGATTTGAAGTAAGTCTGAGTGAGTTACGATCTAGATTCCTCGAATTTTTAGAGCCCAAAAAATTGTTATTCAGCTCAAATGGGTATCGAAATCATGTTAGAGACAGAAAAGGGGGCGAGTAAAAAGGTGCTGATCAGCTTTCATTAATATGCCGAGAAACATTTAAACTTTACTTCACCTCCCAAATCGCTAGGTGTGAATAGGATCCTTTACTTTTTGCTTGTAGTAATTGTTATAACTATGTATAAACTATATATGGTAAGAACAATCTAAAAGTAATAAACGAGTAAGTTAAAAAAATATTTTCAGCAGTGTGGAACATAGGCGGATAACGAGATATTGTATCTAGAGTTCTCTCGTCTTCCTTCAAGTTGGACTTGTTTTATTTCTTTTGAAGCTTTTGTTTAAAGAATGTCTGCACTCTCTGTGGATATCTTGGTAATCCTTTTAAGGCTTAGAAATAAATACAAAAGCGTTCCCGAGTACTAAAAAACGCAAATAAAAACCATTATGTTTTTTTTCATAAACAAATACGATTTGTAATTCAAAACATTTTACATATATGTTACGAACCAAACGCATAGCCGTTAAATATTTTTGTTTCTGATTTAATGGCTGAAGATTTTATTTCTAAACAAAAACAGTCATAAATATTAAAGAATCTTTGGAAATATAAATGTATTTTTAATGAACCTTCAAATTATCAGACGTGTCACATTAATAAGTGTTTGCTTGTTCTTATTTTAATTGTTAAAGTATTTCATTGTAAAAATTTAGTGTGCAGAATTTATATTTTTAATTTGAAGTTAAAAATAATATTGTAGAGGTTAGAAACAGCAAAAGTTGGTATTAATTTGACAAAAGAAAAATGTTTCAGTATGCAATACAGAAACAATCAAAGTTAATACCAACATAAAAAGGATTTTGTGAAAGAAACACATTTATAAAGAGAAATGTGTGGCATTCACAAAATCTTGACCAAGATCGACACCGTGACCAAGGCGAACAGGATCAGAGCTGATGGCAGTGAATTGATGCTTTTGGCGCCATTTCTGTGCTCTTGAAAAAAATTAAAATTAACAATGTAAAAATGAAGCAGCACTCTTAGTAAATTATACTTTATTAATTAATATCAATATTAGACGGGGCGGCTTAGCGGTAGAGCGCTAGACTGCTAGAAAGTCGAGTTTGAGGCCTGGTTTAAGTCAAAAGAACGTCCCATCCAGCTTATGGGTACCTAACTCTAGAGTCGCGAGGCAGGGTGGGGAGTGCGGACCGCACAGGGTGACACAGTGTAGTGAGGTGACACCAAGGCAAAATAAAAATGCAAAATATATAGGAGAAATATGCTTTTTGCCAATGTAATGAATGATTAATGAAAGTTAAAAATAAGGTGGTTGAGGTCACAGAAACGTATGAAATCCACTTCACTTGCCCCATGGTCCAGCATTTTAGGTAATGGATCTTTCTTTGATACGTTTTATTAACATTCATGTTACTGTTAGTATACTTGTAAAATATAATAATAGTTATCTAAAAGTAGAAAAGAATTTAAAAAAAGTTGTCCACTTAATTACTTTCGAGAAAAAAATTTAAACTTCCTGTTTGAAGACTCTCGCACCGTTAAAGCTGGGTTGGTGAAATTACATATATAAGTATTATATCATAATCGTAGATCCATATCAACCTTTGAGTTATTCCGATTACCGGAAGTGGTACTTTATCTACTTTGAATTATTCAAAAGCCTATAACTTGAGTACTTTTTTAGATAGATAATTGAAATTTCACATGTAAGTAAATGATCTAATCCTCTACCTTCTATCAAATTTTGAGTAATTTCCGTTGACTGGAAGTAGTAATTTACGCTATTTCCGATTTCTCAAAAAATGCATGTAAATTTATAAAGTACTAATAATATTTAGCACTATTATGCATATTTTGTTTTGACGTACGCTTGGTGCGCAATTCGATTTTCTACGAGATTCTATTCTATTTTAAATTTTTAAGTAATTAAAAATGGATTTAAAATTATGACTATATCCCGAGTTGCCACCCCCTGTTGTTTTATATAAGAATATTCGAGAAAGTTTAGGGGAAATCACTCCCGTTTTAATTATTATGAAAACATCCCACGATGTATGTGAATTGGTTTCTGTTACTGAGTTTCCATAATTGATTCAGTATGATAATTTAATAATGACCAGAATAGACATGTAAAGTTTTCCCTCGCTTACATACAGTGTTTTTTTCAAAATTTCATCTCAGGGAGGGGGGTGGACTAATTTTTCCCGGGGAGGGAGACACTGGTAAAGTGTAAATTTTCTATCTAAATTCCATTCAGAGTTTCTTCCAGGCATGTCTTCGGGGGAGGGGGCGGGGGCTCCGACCCTCCCCCCCCCCCCGAACGAGATGGATTTTATATAGTAAACATACACTTTTACTAGTGTCCGCCGCCCCCCGAAAAATGTTGACCACCCCTCCCCCGAGAATGTTTAAGTGCCCCCCCCCCCGGAGAAAAATGTCTGGAAGAAACACTGATTCCATTTCGTTCGGGGGACGGTAGATTTTCTTCGGATGCCTCAGCCACCCGTTTCTGATCTAGCCAGACTGGCGACAGACAGAGGAAGTAGGTTAAATAAAAGCTTGTAAAAAGGGACAATAAGATAAAAGCACTGTATACTTACTGTTGATGAGGTCAGCTACATTAAATGCTGAAAAAAAAGTGATGCATTTCATAATGGTTGATATCTGAATATAGTGATATACCTACTTTATCTCTTTCACGAGATATGACTTTACCACGAAAAATAATGCATGTCACTTTTTTATTAAATACAAGCTTCTTCTTCTTCTTCGTTCTTAATTATTAGTGTTGGAAGGAATCGACCCTTATCTGCCAGAGGGTTGACCTCGAGACTTTTTTAAATTTACCAACCTTGAGCTTTACCAACTCGACCACTCTGACACCTGTACAGGCTTAACGAAATATGTAATTTATGCAGAGATATATTTAACTGCTGAAGTATTTTCCTTCAGATTTAGTCTAGGCCTGGATGATTTAGTTAAGTGGGCTTACAGTCTTGTAGGTTTTAGTTCACTGGGCTTACAGTTTTTTAGGTTTTATTCCAGGGGACTTATAGGCTTGCAGGTTTTAGTTCCGGTGGCTTATGTCTCATAGGTATTAATTCAGTGGTCTTATGTCTCTTAGGTTTTAGTCCCAGGACCAATGTCTTTGAAAGTTTGAGTACAGTGGATATATTGCAGGTTCAGCCCACAGTTTGTGTTTATCAGTTAAGTAGGCATTCGGTTGATTAGATTGAAACAAATGAAGAAAATATAACTCACAGCACTTGTGTCCATGCTGCTTCAGCTGTGAATTCATGTGCTCGGTTAATTGTGTCTCCATTTCTGTTGTGAAGCCGCAGTTTTGTTGAAATAAACAAGCGACTAAATCTTGCATGTCACTATAAAATAGATTAGAAAAATTAGTTGTTATATTTAACAAATATATTATATGTATATATATACACACACACACACACACATATATATATATGGTGACAGGACAAATGATCTCAGGACAAATGATCTCAGACAAAATATCTCAGACAAAATATCTCACGGACAAATGATCTCAGGACAAATGATCTCAGGACAAATGATCTCAAGGACAAATGATCTCACGGACAAAAGATACCAGGACAAAATATATCAGGACAAATGATACCACGGACAATTGATCTCAGACAAAATATCTCAGACAAAATATCTCACACCTAAATTTTAATAGTGTATTGGGTGATTTTAGTTGATCTGAACAATTTTTATTAACTGTCGTATGGTTTTGTTTAATATGTTTAATATTGTTTATAGGCCCATATGATAGTTGTAAGAAATGTTTGCCGTATAAATTTATCATATTGCACTTTTAAAATTGTATATTGCATTTTAAAATTAGGATTATTACTATAGAAGATTAAAGAAATTGTTCGATAGACAACGTACACGGGCTTGCCAAACATGAGACAATCCAACCATGTCAGGTGGACGAAACTATATCAAAGGGGATGAAATAACAATAGAGAAACACCTTGGTATCAAGGTGGCAGCCCGCTTTGATGGTAGAGACATGCCTTAAGGGAAAGACATCCGCCCTCCATGAACAATACAACTAATAGGTAAATTCAATAGTTACGCGTCGGACACACCTTAGTGATCAGGTGACTAATGCTTATTAAAGACAAACAGCGGTCATCGCGGAGTTAGAACATGTCGAGCAAGAGTTCACACAATACATGATCACATAGTATTGGAGAGGTGTGATCATAACGATGTACTGTCAGCAAAGAAACGTAAACGTTATGTTTGTGTTGATCATGCAATAAAAACAATAATTTTACGTTACGAACCTAGAGACCCATTAACATTTTTGAAAGATATTTCGCATGTTTTAAACATTATTGTTGTATAGCTACCGTTACTTTGTTTTATACATTATCATTTATCATACCTTTCAGGCTAAAGGAGAAAGTTTGTTTTAATTTTTATTTTTTTAAATCAAAGTCCATTACAAAGATTAAGTTAAATAAATCTTTTGATGGTTTGTTAAGTTTAACAAATTCATTTTGTTCACAATTATGATGCGTAAAGAAAGTAAACAAAACCATATTGACAGTCAATTTAAAAAAAAAGTTCAAATGAACTAAAATCATTGTGCATACTATCAACATTTTACTGTGAGATATTTTGTCTGAGATATTTTGTCTGAGATCATTTGTCCATGATATCATTTGTCCTGATATATTTTGTCCTGGTATCTTTTGTCCGTGAGATCATTTGTCCTTGAGATCATTTGTCCTGAGATCATTTGTCCTGAGATCATTTGTCCGTGAGATATTTTGTCTGAGATATTTTGTCTGAGATCATTTGTCCTGAGATCATTTGTCATGGAACCATATATATATATATATATATATATATATATATATATATATATATATATATATATATATATATATATATATATATATATATATATATATTGTTGTATATATTTATGTGAGCGGTACTTTGGTCATTGCACTTATGCTGACTTGGCACAGCCACAGCAGTAGACGAAGACGTAAGCTTAAACATAGTCATAATTCAATGCAATTATATACCAATTGTATGTTAAACCTATTTCAATGTTCAATACACTAACTTGCACATGACGGCTTGATCGGAGGCGTGGGTCACATCTTTTTGCATGTATGTGATGTAGCATTGTGTTACTTTAGAAGCGCAGTCTATTTCAGCAACAAAACATTTATATTAAGAAATTATACAGGTATATATATATATATATATATATATATATATATATATATATATATATATATATATATATATATAGAGAGAGAGAGAGAGAGAGAGAGAGAGAGAGAGAGAGAGAGAGAGAGTTATTAGTAGAATGTAGATCTAGTTCTGGTCAGTTTCTCGCTGGGCGCTTGGCGAACCTCGTGCGTGGAGCGAGGTTGCTTTTGTAACTTGGCTGGGTGTTTTGTATGTTTTGTTTTATAATTATTGTTTGGTGTGGGTATTAGATGGCGTTTTGATTGCCAAAAGGGATATGAAGATTGTCTGTGTGGTCAGAGCCTAGACTATCCGAGGCATCGATTGTACATAATATTCCATCGAATGTTGTGTGTTTTGTTTGTTTACTGTTTGACTAGGATGTTTTGGATTTGAAATAATGTTTACGTTTTTTTTATTGTTGGTTCCATTTTTGTATGTAAATAAAACTATGAGCTCATTTTTTGTGTTGTTTTTTTTATCTAGACAAAGGTTTACAACGGTTGCGCTGACCGGACAGTTTATTCAGATAAGCCTAGGGAAGGTAGTTAGTATAGTTAAGCCCCCCCCCCCCTCTTAGCAGGGCTTATACTAGGTATTCTAGATTGCGCATGCTCGCGTGGTATTAAGTCAGCCAACCAATCGTACCAATCGTACAGCCTGAGCTAACCATCGTGATCCAATGAAAATCAAACAACGCTCCAAATTATTTTTTATTGATTGAAATGTAGTTCATCATGGATAGAAAGGATGGGCGCAAGTAAATTTAGGTCAAGGTAAAAAGGAGGTGAGGGGAGGTTGTCTGTTGACAGACGTTGAACTCCAGAGAAAGACAAATCAATCTGAAAAAATATATAAGCATCCTCTCTTTCACACGCACAATACATGTTCTCACTAGACTTTTACACTATTCTTAAAACAATATATACAAATTAACATGTTTTTAAAATAAAGATGAAAAAGCTGTTTTAATTTAGAAGTTATTTCACAAACAAATCACATACATAATTATAGTTTCAAGGGGTGGGGCTGTCTTAGAAATAGCTTGCCGTTTTTTGTAATGTAGGGTAACTTAAATAACGTATGTGATAAATATTGCATGCATCCTTTAAGTGTTATCTAAACTCAACATGAGCTGAAAAATGTTTTATCGATTATAATGTTTTATGTGGGGGAGGGGCGGATAATATGGTGATTAGATTATTTCTGTTTAATTTTTTGTAGTTGTTTTTATTACACAATACGACCGCCAACAAAGGTTCAGTAGGGGAAACAGAAAAAAATAACAGTTACGAAACTAAAATGAGTCCCTGCAATCGGTCACATGACACTTTAGCTTTGTCCACTATAACTGATGCTAATAGAGCTTGTAAGTAGGGCACCGACTTCTCGTCGTCGTACTTGCCAGCAAGTATTTTTAAACCAGATATCCATATTATAATAAAAAGGTAAAAAAAAAACCACAAAAATACTAGTTTTACAATATGTGGGCTAACTCAAAGGCTAAGTTTAATTCTGTTTTTTTAGTTCGTAATTATTATATCGAATCCCTATCAATTTGTCCTGAATAAATTCAATATTAATATATTTTAAGCCTAAGGTAATGAATTTGATTTTATTATTAATGTTTTATAAATGTTGCATTTTGGGTATACTTGGTATGATGTTTTTTAAAATGTTCTAAGCAATATTACGCTTAAGTTTTAGAACATTAATTATAGATTGGTAATATAATCAATAAGCTTCATTTTGTGTAGTGTGACTATCAGAAAACCTAACAAAGCACACAATTTATGTTAGATTAAAGTGGACATCTGGGTAATTCAAACGCTTTGACTTTACACAAAAGAAAATTGGATTGTAATGAGAACTGCACAGCTGTTCGAGATTTGACTTTAAATTGCTTTTAGGTCGATAATGATCTAAAAACACACGCAGTGCCTTTTAAAAACACTAAAATAAGGCATCCCTACAATACAATTTGCTGGAGAAACAATATTTGGTGCTCCCCCTTTCCTCTCTCTCTCTCTTTCTCTCTCTCTCTCTCAATAATATATATATATATATATATATATATATATATATATATATATATATATATATATATATATACATATATATATATATATATATATATATATATATATATATATATATATATATATATATATATATATATATATATATATATATATATATATATATATATATATATATTTATATATATATATATATATATATATATATATATATATATATATATATATATATATATATATATATATATACATACGCGCAGTGGCGTAGCGAGGTCGGGTGCCACCCGGTGCGGCACTTAATGGTGTCACCCCCCAGAGGCGTAGCGACCCTTCCCGGGGACAAACTTTCAAATTTTCGATTTGCACTCTCCCCCCCCCCCCCCCCTCAAGTTTTTGATTTGCACCCCCCGTCAAGTTTTCAATTTTCACCGCCCTCCCCCCACTCAAGTTTTCGATTTGCACCCCAACCCCCCTCATCAAACTTTTGATTTGCATACCCCCTTAAGTTTTCGATTTGCAACCACCCCTCCTCAAGTTTCCCCCCCCCCCCCCCATATTTTGCTATTTTTTGCCTTGGTGTCACCCCCCCCCCTAAATGTTGTCAACCGGTGTAGTCCGCACACCCCGCCCCACCCCCACCCTCGCTTCGCCTCCGTATACGCGTCTTTGCGTTATTCTCCACTTTTGCTTTGGCAAACTTTGTTGGTCAAAAAGAAAATATACAAGTTTTGCTTGATACTCAATACTTATTGGTTTGATAAAGGCCTACATCATTTTAAGAGAAAAAAATAACCCTTATAGCAGGTAACAAAACACTTTTTAGAACACTAATAGCATATCGATTTTTAAAAAAAATTCATCATCGTTTCAATGATCAAGTATTGTTTATCTTATTCTCTAAATTTACAAATGTAAAGATAATATGGTCAGCCCTATGTTCACCTCTACTTTTCTCAGTTGTTACTCATCAGAGCAACGGGAACGGTAACTGAATTAAAAAATAGACTGCTTTTCATATTGGTAGACGCGCGCCCTACCTCTCGACAAGTCAGTTCCAGTTGCAGGTTTTACATCATTTTGATGGTGTATAACTCTACCCTGTCATTGAAACTATGTTGCGAATTGTAATTTTTTTAATTTAATTAAATCAACTTTTTAAAATATGTATTATGTAGCAAACTTTATGAGAACCAATTAGGTTAAGCGTACCTCCTGAAGTTAGCCCAATAGTCACCAGCAAGACAAAAGCGGTAAGACACAAGTGTTTCAGGGCCGCCATTTTAATTTAAAGATCTGTATGTGAATATTGTAGGCCTATGATTTAAAGAAAACATATAAGCCTATGATTTAAAGAAAAAATATATCATAAAACACACATAATCTTTACTTAGGGGGTCGTCCATAAATGACGTCACACTCGTAGGGGGGATGAGGGTCCGTAATTTTGTCACGGCGTGTTATGAGGGGGAGCGGGGGGGGGGGGGGGGGGGGTTCAGATGGTGGGACGTCACATTTTTGGATAAACAAAAAGTAATGTTGGAAAACGAATTTTAGCCGTTATTTCGCGTTTTAGAAAACAGTATTAATAAATTGTAATAGGAATTGATTAAAATACTCTATGTTGACAGAGTTCAGACAAGATTTTGGAAAAATATCGATGTTTTAAGAAAACTTTAACTGAAATTTTGAGTGGTGGGTTGTAGCTTTAGGTGTGACGTCATTTTAGGGGGGGGGGTCTGGCTTTTTATGACGATGTGTGACAGAGGGGATGGGGGAGGGGGAGGTAAAAATCGTCCAAAAAAAGCGTGACGTCATTTATGGATGACACCTTAACATCATCTGTTTGTATTTGGTTGCTGTTTTTTTTTTTAAAGGATTCTTTTTCGTTCTTAATTCTAATGTTGGAATGGATTTTCTCTAACACATTAATGTGTCAACGTATTATGCGCCATATGGCGCCGTTGACTCCGATTTCAACCTGCTTTTCTTTTGTTTTATTTTTGGAGTTATCTCACGTAGAAGAGTTGCTGTTCCCAGTTGTAAAGCCTCGTTTGTCAGAGGGTTCGAACTCAAGACTTTTCGGTTAAGTAACAATGTGCTTTACCGACTCGACCACGCCGACTCCTTCATCAATTAAATAATTCTGCTAAGCTGATGTAATAATAATATAACTAACACAATCAAAGTCTTAATATAGCTAACACAAAATTGAATTTCCTAGGATTTGAAAACCATTTTTTTTATCATTTTCAAATACTTAACGGAAATTGTATTCTTTTTTACAAGGTTTATAAGATTGTTCGATTATTATTACTTGGTTGACTTTAAACAATAAGAGTTGATTTAAGTTTCACAGCTCCAATAATCTACAGTTTTAATGCTTTAAACTTATAGCTGAAAAACAAAAAATACACAACGGCTATTAAGTCGTAAGTATAAAAAACCTTACCACTTGAGCTTTGACAAGACAAACAAGTGACACACAGTCAGTCCCCACCTTGTGAAGTAAATGGGCCTCTCTTTGCGCATGCTCGCGTCACATTAATTGAATACGAAACTGCGGCCTGCGCAAGCGTTTGTAATAACAACAGGCTAAACCACTCTAAGTCTTTACACCATAAGGGGGGGGGGGGGCTGGGGAGAGGAGGTTAGTAGAATCCCATAAAGCTGATCCCCCCCCCTACAATAAAAATAACACGTAATATCACAAACACAATGACTCTTTAAGGCTGTATACAATTGTTAAAATCCAAAATAGTGGATAATGCAATTAATACATGGTGGAATCAAAAGAACACAAGACGAAACCAGTGTGCTGAACTATCGAGAGTTACAGCCTATATGGTAGCAGATCTATCATTGCCGGCGATTACCAGTTGTTTTTTGTTTAGTCCCTATTTAAGCAACGGAATAAAGGTGTCAACATTTTTATTATCATTCTAATGTATAAGATGCGTATATCAGATTTAAATAATATATTTTAAAATAAAATGTAGTTTGTAAAAAAAGAAAATGGTACATTAAGAATAAAATATATATATTTTTTTAAATATAAATATAAAATTATTTTTGTTTTTCGTTTTAACCTCTTTAAGACCGTAACAACGCTCCCAGCGTTCGATAAAATTTTCTCGATTTAATTTTTTGCTTTTGGGAATCCAAGTTTTTAATTGTAAATCTAGGTCATGAGAACGCTAGAACGGCTATTGTTTGTTGTATTTACTTCTTGTAGTTTTCTCGTTAGATTGATTTTCTATTTTATACAATTTTTTTCTAAAACAACTCGCAATACGACATTTTTTAACACTGCAGAATGCCGTTCAGCGGCCGCGTCTAAACGTTTACGTCGCCATATTATAACATTAACCAAAATTAAAGTATTTATACTGAGACTAATCCGATCCATGATTTTTGAAGAAAAATGGAAGGTACTTTCGTTTTCTATGAATAAGAACTAATGAGAACTAATGAAAAGTTATTCTTTTTATTAATTTTCCCGACAGAAGGGTAATTTTTGCACGAAAAAAATCAACTCTTTATTTTTTCTTCTTTATAACCAAGCAATTAACTTTCTCCAATAAATAAATCCTTGCCTTAAAACTTATATCAATATGTAGGGTACTCAATTACTATTAATTTTTATCAATAATGTGTAGGATTTAAATTAACGGGTAAAAAGATATGGGTCGTTTAGCCACAGAGGTAGTGAAAAAAAAATGAGTGAACAAAAAATAATTCCGGTAAAACGTGAAAATAATTACGAGCTTAAAGAATTCTTAATTAATTAAACAGCAGGATCAAATACAGCAGCGATTTATTAAAATGCCGACACACTACTTTAAACGAAAGTATGTTACGACACTGCTTCAGCATGCTTGTATAACATATATTTTTACATAATGCTACATAAAAACATTCTATATACGTTTTGTATCTTAATTTTAATAGTTTGAAACTTTGCTCTCCCCTAGTAAATATTAAAGTGCAAAATCGAATAGCGGAAGAGTGGTCATCCGTTAACCATTGCAAAAATATTTTATGTATTGATCTCTAATTTTTTTTTTATACAGAGAAAAAGAAATGCCCAACGGATTGAGGGGATTTTCAACATAGCCATAACTTGTCTTTTATACATGTAAATTAAGATGGTCTAATTTGTCCCAAAATATTCTAGCAATGTTTAATTTTAATTTCGATTTCCACATTACTCGAACTCTTTGTTGCGAACGATTTTGAAAAATAATATGAATATTTAAAGTTATACCATATCAAATTATTTTGATATCTTTTGACACTGTTCACCAACCTTGCGGATAAATATCACTCTTTGTTCAAAAAATTAATAATTAGACAGATTGAGAGTCGCTGTGAAATCTTTTACGAAAACTCTATGTTGGTCTGTATAGATTTGGGATGCTAGCTGTTTTTATACTTTGAAATTCAATCTATAATCAAAACGAGGCTGTAGCAGACTTGACTTCTGGTGTATCGTATTAGAAGTTAATTGTTTGTGTGATATTAGAATACTTGGTCTTAAAATGTGAATGTGTGAGCAATTAATCTTAGGTTTTGCATGCTTTTGTCGATTTCGCTCACTGAGTGTAGTGTGAGATTGCGACGGTGTATAATGGTTGATGATAGTATACATTAGGCGTGTCACCTAGATGAATGCAGGGTGAAGCAACGTTTGTTGACCGTTAGAACAATGTGGGTGTTCCAATGTATCCAGTATTTATTTCAATGTTTTTCTAATTAATATATAACATTTTCATATTTACTGTGTGTATTCTAGTCTTTTGTAAATAAAGTTTTTTGTCTAATAAGAAATTAAGTTAGGTTTATTCAAGGTACCTACAGCCACAGCTAAAGATCTCAACATATAACTTTCATTTCAGATGTTTCATTAAAACTGCATCGTAACTGAGTTCAAGATTTGTAGTAGGTCTGAGTGAGTTACGATTTAGATTCCTCGAATTTTTAGAGCCCAAAAAATTGTTATTCAGCTCAAATGGGTATCGAAATCATGTTAGAGACAGAAAAGAGGGCGAGTAAAAAAGTGCTGATCAGCTTTCATTAATATGCCGAGAAACAATTAAACTTTACTTCAACTCCCAAATCGCTAGGTGTGAATAGGATCCTTTACTTTTTGCTTGTAGTAATTGTTATAACTATGTATAAACAATATATGGTAAGAATAATCTAAAAGTAATAAACGAGTAAGTTAAAAAAATATTTTCAGCAGTGTGGAACATAGGCGGATAACTAGAGATATTGTATCTAGAGTTCTCTCGTCTTCCTTCAAGTTGGACTTGTATTGTTGCTTTTAAAGCTTTTGTTTAAAGAATGTATGCACTCTCTGTGGATATCTTGGAAATCCTTTAAAGGCTTAGAAAATAAATACAAAAGCGTTCCCGAGTACTAAAAAAACGCAAATAAAAACCATTGATTTTTTCATAAACAAATACGATATGTAATTCAAAACATTTTACATATATGTTACGAATCAAACGCAAAGCCGTTAAATATTTTTGTTTCTGATTTAATGGCTGAAGATTTTATTTCTAAACAAAAACAGTCATAAATATTAAAAATCTTTGGAAATATAAATGTATTTTTAATGAACCTTAAAATTATCAGACGTGTCACATTAATAAGTTTTTGCTTGTTCTTATTTTAATTGTTAAAGTATTTCATTGTAAAAATTTAGTGTGCAGAATTTATATTTTTAATTTGAAGTTAAAAATAATATTGTAGAGGTTAGAAACAGCAAAAGTTGGTATTAATTTGACAAAAGAAAAATGTTTCAGTATGCAATACAGAAACAATCAAAGTTAATACCAACATAAAAAGGATTTTGTGAAAGAAACACATGTATAAAGAGAAATGTGTGGCATTCAAAAAATCTTGACCAAGATCGACACCGTGACCAAGGCGAGCAGGATCAAAGCTGATGGCAGTGTACTGATGCTTGTGGCGCCATTTTTGTGCTCTTGAAAATAAAATAAAATAAACAATGTAAAAATGAATTAGCACTCTTAGTAAAATGTACGTTATTAATTAATATCAATATTAGACGGCGTGGCTTAGCGGTAGAGAGCTAGACTGCTCGAAACTCTCGAGTTCGAGACCTGGTTTAAGTCCCATCCAGCTGATGGATACCTAACTCTAGAGTCGTCGCGAGGCGGGATGGGGAGTGCGGACCGCACCGGGTGACACCGTGTAGTGAGGTGACACCAAGTAAAAAAATATTGCAAAAATATAGAAGATATATGCTTTTTGTCAAGGTAGTGAATGATTAATCAAAGTTAAAAAATCCACTTCACTTGTCCCATGGTCCAGCATTTTAGGTAATGTATCTTTCTTTGATAATTTTTATTAACATTCATATTACTGTTAGTATACTTGTAAAATATAATAATAGTTATCTAAAAGTATAACAGAATAGATAAACAGTTGTCCACTTAATTACTTTCGAGAAACAAATTTAAACTTCCTGTTTGAAGACTCTCGCACCGTTAAAGCTAGATTGATTATATCATAATCGTAGATCCGTATCAACTTTTGAGCGATTTCGGATAAACGAAAGGGGTACTTTTTCTTCTTTGAATTTTTTAAAAGCCTATAACTTGAGTACTATTTCAGATAGATAAATGAAATTTCACATGTAAGTGAATGATCTAATCCTCTACCTTCTATCAAACTTCGAGTAATTTCTGTAGACCGGAAGTAGTAATTTACGCTATTTCCGATTTCTCAAAAAAACGCATGTAAATTTATAAAGTACTAATAATATTCCGCACTATTAAGCATATTTTGTTTTGGCATTCGCTTGGTGCGCAATTCTTTTTTCTACGAGATTCTATTCTATTTTTAAAAAGTTTAAGTAATTAAAAATGGATTTAAAGTCTTGACTATATCCCGAGTTGCCACCCACAGTTGTTTTATATAAGAACGAGCCGACCCGCGGCATATCATACGCCGCTATTTAGTTGTTGTTTTTTCTACTTTTCAGTTATTCATAATTTGTGAATTCGACACTACCAACGCTGCCACTGAAAATATTTCTTTAAAACACTATAAGTAGCTCGTTAAGGACAATACCCCCCCTCCTTCCCCCCATCCGTTAAAGTAAACTCCCACTTAGTTACCCCCCCCCCCACGTTTAAAATCGTTTCAAACCAAATTATCTGCCCCTAATAGTCGTCACTAAACCCGGCTCTGTTTGTAAACATTTAGAGTGAACACAGCTCACCAGACCATGTAGGGGTGGGGCTGGTAGGGAGCGCGTTTACAGCTTGTTTTCTAGCGTCTCTCAGAAGAGAATTATATATATAGATAGATATTCGAGAAAGTTTAGGGGAAATCATTCCAGGTTCATTTATTATGAAAACATCCCACGGTGTATGTGAATTCTTTTCTGTTACTGAGTTTCAATAATTGATTCAGTATTGATATTTTAATAATGACCAGATTGGACATTTAAAGCTTTCCCTGGCTTACATACAGTGTTTCTTTCAAACTTTCTTCTCAGGGAGGGGGGGGGGGGGGGGTGGACGAATTTTTCC